ACACACACACACACACACACACACACACACACACACACACAATAATAAAGACAAGGCAGGGTTTATTGAGCAATTAATAGGTTGATACAAAAAAACTTTAAACCTTTAGTTTAAAAATTATAAAAACTAAACAGCCTACAGTATTTTTACAGTCTTTATTGTACAGTTAAAATATATGTTTATCAAATAAAGTCTAATGTTACAACTAATCAGGGATCCCTTTAACGAGCCTGTCSTCCTCAGGTTCTGACCTGCACGGAGCACGACCAGGAGAAGCTGCAGTTTTATTGCAGGTCATGCCAACGGCTGCTCTGTCCTCTCTGCAAACTGCGYCGAGTCCACACCGGACACAAGATCCTCCCCGTGGCTCAGGCTTACCAAGCTCTGAAGGTCCGAGTCCAACTCCTCAGCTATTCTCCAAAATTYGGAAGAAATTGTCATAAATGCACAAATATGCATCTTTTAAAAGGAAGAGTTATATTCTGARATTCTTGTGTGATTTGTTTAGGATTACACAGAATTAAGCTTTAAGAATCYTGTTTTAGCATAGAAGAGATAAACACGAACAGGCTAATGGAGAGTTAATGCTTCACTTTTAATCTTTTTTTGTTTCTAATCAACAGGAAAAGATTACTAAAGAGATGAACTACATTCTGTCCAACCAGGACACAGTTCTGGCTCAGATCACCCAGCTGGAGAGCTCCATCACTCAGACTGAGGTGATTAACACTTTCGCCCAACAAAATTTTGATTAAAACCAGTCAGCTGTTAAAACAAATTAAACAGTTAAACTGTTTGGTGCTTGTAATCAGATTTATTTGGGAAAAAAATGACATTTATTATAACACAAAGCTTTCCGCTGTACAAACACACCTTGTAAAGATTAGTCATGTAGAAACCAAATGCTTTTGTGACTTTTGCAATTTTTCTAGATTTTTCTTTTCCTTTTATTTKGTTTCACCATGTTTATAATTTCTTATTGCTCATCTCAAACTGCATATTTAAAATGTAATGCTTGTGTGAGAACACAGTCTAATGTGGTAATGTGCACACAGATGAGAATAAAAACATGTGATGTGATGATGTAAGTAAAGCTGATACAGACACAGATGAATTTGTTGGTACACTTCAACCACGGAAAAAATGAAATAAAAATATTAATAAAAAAAAAAAACAGCCAAAAAAGCTTCAGTTTTGTCTGGGAAACATCACGGGGGAAACTTTGGGGCTCATTGGTGAATTCTGTTTTGACTTTTATGGTTTTTTCTTTCTGTCAGTGGTGGAGACTTCCTGGTTTTTATCACATGTAGCCCATTAATAATGACATAACTTGGCCTTGGAGTTAAGATGGAATAATTTTGGACATTTTCCTTTAGCTTCCTTTTGTCTGATCAGCCTGGGGTTGCATTTGCTCTTGCGTCCACATCCTGGGAGGTTGTCTACAGTCCCATGAACCCTATATGTTTTAATAATCTTGGTGGCTGTAGTCAGAGGAACATGAAGCTAGCTTTAACYAGGGTTATTAGTTTTATTAAGGGTACAAACAAATATCTTTATGCTATTTTAGCACATTTTTGTAAAAAAA